AAAGTCTATTAATGTCTCCATTTATATTAAAAATCCCCAATTATAAGTGAATTTTGATTGGATGGTAGTGTCTGATACTGCTAGCAAATCATCAAAACAGAAACCAAGTAATATAAAAAGAGTTGAGGTAAATGAATTGAGAAATGCTAACATTGTCTTGGAAAAGTTCCATTTGAAAATGCTTCATAATATTTTCCTTGATGTCATCTTTCCTAAGTAAATTATTAAAAAAAGATGGAGTTTTCAAATAAGGATTTTGAATAGCTGGGTCCATATTAATTCCAATCAGGATTGTTGACCTTTATTTTCCCTGACGAGTCTTTACTTTGCTGTGTTCTTCAAATCCTGACATAATGAGTTTTGGACTTTGCTGTGTACAGGAGGAGGAGGATGCTGTAACACCCTGGTAACTCATAATCAGATTTTTCTTGTATATTCACTAATACAAGGACCAATTCAGGCCAAGCAATTTATATTAAACGTTCCATTCTTAATGCTCTCTCTCTCTCTCTCTCTCTCTCTCTCTCTCTCTCTCTCTCATGATGTACGCAGGCTTATATTTCAATAGCATTCCCAACTTAAAAAGAATGATAAGTACATAATTTAGATTACAATTTTTTGGTGGAAATAAATAAATACATATTTCAATAGCATTCCCAACTTAAAAAGATTTGTATAGGTATAGGTAATGACAGATTTGTATATGTAGAGTTGCTTTGTGGTCGACTGATGATGCAGAGTCTCCAAGGTGACCCTCCACCTTCTTGATCCATTCACCATTGCCATTATTGAATAATTTTGAATTTAGGATACTTCTTTTATGAAGCTTATAAAATAGGTCTTTGAAGGCTTTAGCACATATGCTCCTTCTTCTCTGTCCTTAATATCCCTCAATGGCTACCACCAACAGCGCTAGCGTGAGTTTGAAGCTTCTGATTCACACACAAAAAAAAAAGGCCTATTTTAATACAATGTTTATGGCCATTCTACAAAACCCAACCCGTTAGTTATATTAAAAATTAGGTCAGATATCTTCTTCTTACCAGCGTCGCCTTCTCCTTCCTCTCTGTCTCTCTCTGTCTCTGTCTCTCTGTCTCCCTGTCTGTCTGTCTCTCTCTCTCTCTCTCTCTCTCTCTCTCTCTCTCTCTCTCCGTCTTTCTTCCTAACAAGCAGCGGATCCTGCGCCCGCCCTTCAACCGCCCTTCGTCCATGCCTCAACGGCAAAACTTCCGCCCAGACCCGCCTAGGCCGCCTAGAGCCGCCTAGGGCCTCCTAGAGCCGCCTAGGGCGCTTAGTGGAAATAAATACATATTTATTCACTCATTTGTAGATTATATTCCCTATGTATAGGTAATGACAGATTTGTATACGTAGAGTTGCTTTGTGGTCGACTGATGATGCAGAGTCCAAGGTGACCCTCCACCTTCTTGATCCGTTCACCATTGCCATTTTTGAATAATTTTGAATTTAGGATTCTTTTTTGTGTGAAGGTCTGTCCTTAGTATCCCCTCAATGGCTACCACCAACAGCGCTAGCGTGAGTTTGAAGCTTCTGATTGACACAAAAAGCTACAAAATTCTGTTTGCTGAAGCAAGCAAGGAAGTTGTTGATTTCCGTTTCAGTTTTCTGTCTTTGCATGTTGCAACTGTTACTAGGCTCCTCTCAACTGATGGTATGGTTGGTTGCTTAGGCAACCTTTACCAGAGTGCCAAAAGTCTTAGTGTCAACCCATACTTGCCACTCAATCTTAAGGACACCCTGCTCAAACCCAAAACAACAATTTCTGCGGCCAATATCTTTCAATTGCCATTGCCGACCAACAATGACTATAATCTTTCTAAATTGTTCTACATTCGTGTGAGGTGCAGTAACCGTATATCTGAGAGCTACGGAATCCCTTGTCCACAGTGCAGATCATGTAACATTTTCACCCTGGTGTTTATGTTTCTCCATCTGCTCCTACTCAGTGGCGGAGCCAGGAATCGAAACACAAGGGGTCTTAGTGTAAAAGTCCCAAAAAAAAAATTAGGATGGAATCAACATATATATTCTACATATGCAAAAAAATGAAAATAAAAACTCACATTGTTACTGGAAATTAGTGCGATAAACATCTCTAATACTTCACTTACGCACTAAACACATAAACTTGAGACATCATTTTATTTGAGATCACATAGAAAAGGGAGGGACGAGAGAGGAGATTATGTAGTTACCCTAAATTCCTTAATTAAACTGCTGCCTAAGTTTTAATTAAAAAAAAAAATTAGAATGGCATGCACAAGCTGAGGCGCAAGAGTGGCAGAAGTTGCAGCTTCGGATAGATATTAAAGTGTAAACTTTGTTATTACTGGAGGCAAGAATGCTTTGTGATGGTCCAGAGGCCAATAGATAGCAATTTGCCATTTTGTTTTGACTTCAATTATAGTGTCTCACAGACGGACCCAGAAATTTTTTAGCGGAGGTGCAATACTGACTAAGTATGAAAAATGGTTTTTCGGAATAATCATTTTCTCAAAATAATTTTTGGCGGCTTTTATTCTCTACATATCAAATAAGAAAACTTGATTTTATGGGATTTTAGTATGAAGTATATATTGACTTAATGAGCCATCATTTTTAGCCTAAATCATATTTTGCACTAAAACCGAATTTTCATATTTTGATTTGGTGAGAATTTGATTTTCTAGTATTTTTATTTGAATCCAAATAGGGGGTACTTCCTTATTTACATTGTAAACTTAAGTAAATGGAGTAATATAAAAATAAATAAAAGTAAAAGGACAAAGACATTTACTTAGGGTTTAGGAAAATTGGAGAAGCAGTAACAAAAGAAAATTGGGGGTTTTGGAATGGAGGAATC